GGCACGTTTGACCGCTACTGACCGAGGAATCCGAGGCCTCGGAGTCTGTTGATCTAAATGAAGAGTAGATTGCTTGAAGTGGACGATTCGGTTTTAACTTCAACCATAAACACCGGCAGAATTTTTACCTGTTAAAGGTTGGATTGCCGATTTTATGCATCTTTTCAGATTCATTTCGGTAATTTGTGCTGTCTGAACTGAAACAATGAAAATACTAAAGTGATGAGTGCCGATTGTTACCTCACCCATAAGGCAAAGAAGCATTACGCCATGATTGCGAAACATTGCGAGGGAAATGGTGATGGAAAGCATTTAAGAGAAGCAAAACTGTTTTCATTGTCGGTGGCAATGCAATTCCAACTGCAGCACAAATGTTGAGAACAGCTGATGGAACCTACTTAGCTTTGAGTTAAAATATTTTTAAGGACAATTTCGCCTCAACAAAGGACTAAGTGGAGTTAAATGTTTTTACTAGGCTGAGTCACAAAAACCTACAGGTAAAATTGAGAAGCCTCTCTGAGCCGTCGGTAAAGTTGCATCGCGTTCGCCCTGGAATCACACTTAAATCCGATCTTCTTTTTAAGCTAAAAGCATGCGAAGGAGACATCAACACAAATGCCCAAACAGCAACGGTAGCAAATTAATTCATGGTAGGTAATATTGTGGTTAAAGTGCGTGACTTTGCGCATCTGCACGATATTCACAGGAAATGAAAAGGATGCAGCTGCTAATTTGCCTTGCCGAACCGCCGTTACCAGTCATGTCCGTATTGCTGTTTCATTTTCCCAGAGAGTGCTGCATTACTTCTGTGCAATGAGGACCTCAACCGTGCGCATCTTGCTACCCCCTTTAAGGGGTATGCTTTCATCGTCGCTGTGGCAAAAATCACGCAGTGACTTTATCGTAGCGCATTTTTATGCTGAGAGCCAAATACTCATAAATCTTAGGAGTGAGGCTTTTGTGCGATAGGGAGTGTTGCAGATTCGCACACGAATGCTTGCAAGATTTACAGAGTCACTGCAAGAGCCAGCCAGCCAGCCACGCAGGCGTGGAGGCGAGTATTTTGATGTGCACAATCGCTGTTTGTGTTGGTGACACGTGCACTCCACTTACATCACGCGTTTTAATGGTAATAACAACGGTCTTCTTCTCGCATTCGTAGGTCAACATCGATTCCCTGAAATGCGGCAAAAGGCACCAAGTGAGTTTCACAAACACAAGGACTTCCCATCACACTCAAATCAGTATTTTACAAAACATTAAGCATCATTTGCATTGGCTCCTGCAGCATATACGAAGCAGTGCTGGAGAAATCACCTTGGAAGACCACTTTGTGCTGTGCATTCTTTGCTATTTTTCACCACCATGATTAGCACACCTCTCCATGCAGCGGTAAGTGTTATCAAATAGATAGAAGGGAGTGATTGGTCGATCAATGCAAAGAACACATAATAAATTACACCAAGTGCTAAAATACTCCAAGGTCTTTGTTTGACAGAGAAGAGAAAGTTGATGCTGAAACTCACCAGCGGAAGAAGTTAACCTGTTGACTGCTTTTGAAGACAGAGAGACCTTTGAAGTTGAAACCAACAGCTATTCCATTGCCACGCTGATCCTACATACCAACCATTAAAATACGGTTCTAAAATACTCCTGTAAGTTTAACAGATAATGTTGTAGAAGGAGCATGCCTGCAAAGTTTAAAAAAACAGCTCAACCAAGATGCTTCCCTGCTCAAACACGTAATTAAAGAATTAGACTGGACAGTGAGAAAGAAGAGACACGTGAACCATGTAAAGCCATGGAAAAGGGGACAATGCACGAATGTCTGCGCAGAGACGTCTGCATCACCATATCCCAACAGTGGGAAGAATTTGGTGTTGAGCGCATTTACCTGCATGCAGCGATCAATTAAAGCTTAACAAAATTCCAACCGACGTTCCACTGGATAGATGTCCTGATCCTGTGAGTCCTACCACATTTGTCATTGCGATACAAAGCACGAATGGATCTGTACTTAAAATAGAACGAGGAGTTCGAATGTTTGGTCCAGTTTTGATGGATTTCTTGAATGTGCCATGCTTGTCACCTGGCGTTTGTCGACATCCACCCAACTAATGCGCACAGTTGCCCTCACTTAATTGGAAGACCGTTTAATGTGGAGCGGTGAAACTTGGCATGTTGTCTGCAACAAGCAACACAATTACCGCAAGTGTGGATGCACCATACACTTTACTCCTAATTCCCTTTTATCGCTCGAGATATTCATGACACACCCATTCAGTTGGACGGATTTTGTAATACATGCCACTCAATGTCATAGGCGATATTGAATATGCAAGAAATTGCCACAACAACCCGTACTTAAAAAATATGGGCAGAGAAACAGGACCAAGGGGGCGCTCAGCCCGCACCATCCAGCCTACCTTCGCGTCAAACGGTTCAATGCCATAAGTGTCCATCCTCGTAGCGACCTTCAGAAAGGCAGATAAGGCGTCGTGTGGAGAAATGTCACTAAAATGTTTCCAAAATACAAACACTATGAGATTCGATCATGAGCCCTATCACCTCTTCTTAAAAGCTTTATCATTCCCAAAACGTGAATCAACCCTTGGCTTTGTGAGCAAAATCTGCTTCCAGTTTTAAAACAATTACTCGTCTATCCGAAATTTTCAATGACCTATGATACCAAACTATAATGTGCCAACAGAAGTTGCTGCTAAAGAAAAAAGAGTAAACATTTCGGAAAAAACATCGTAGCACGTATTTGTTGTTTAAATAAGGAGCGGAGAACTTGAAACCGGTTCTGTTGAGTTAGAAGCAGACCTCAAACATCAGCAGAGAGCAGACTTTCTTTTCCCTTTTCTACTACCCCACCTGCCCCATTGCACCCACCATGCCATTTAAAGCACACCAG